TATTGAGCGAGCTTTTTAATCGGGTCTCGTCCTGTAACACGCCTTCCGGAAGTTTGTATAGGAATTAAAGCATATGTCTGATCTCTGCTAAATCCTAACTTCTGGATTCTATTTCGAGCATGATCACGAGCTTTATAATCTTTTAACTCTTTACATATTTTTTCAGAATAAGTACTAAGCTTAGCTATACTCATTTGAGGAGTTAATTTATACTGATCTATGAAATTTGTAGCTACTTTCGACATTGTTGTTATGGTATAATTATGTGGACTATAACTATGGAAAATATTTTTTCAATTCGAAATTAATTATCCGTGGATAGCTATACCCAAAAATTGAATGGGTCGTGGTTATTGTAATTATATCGGAAAATGGACGCGAACAAGACACGGAATAGATTGAAGGTTTTAGAATCCATAGCTTTACGTAATAAAATTACTAAAAATATCAATGGGATCAAAGAGGATATAGCATTACTTAGGCACATAAGTGCCATTTTTTCAAAATAAGAGGTCCTAAAAAAAGTAATCAATATATGCCAGGTATATGATACACATCTGTCGATTTGAAATTTACCAATACATAGAATATAACGAAAAAATTTTGCACATATACGTAGTGCATATAGCTTTGGGGGTAGGAACCCAGGCTATGATAACGCTTTACAGTATTTTATTTTTTAGCACCTTTGGTACTTGCTTCGCTAATATATTCCTCAAATGGTGATGGAGGAACCAAGAGTCCTTCTTCTTCCCAAAGCACATATCCATCACATATCAATTTATTATATGTTGGTCCATTGATTGTAATCATGCGATTTGTTTTGGGGTTATAGATTTTTGGCTTTCTCCAACGATTAGTCAATTTTGATAATTGCTCAGCAGTAATTGTTTCTTTGTTATATTCCGGCTCTTTAGTGTACATTCTTTTTAATGTGGTGTATGTGAGTAAAGATATTTTATCTCATTATATATTCGAAATATTTAAATAGTTTTTTTATATTTGAATCTTACGTATATTATACAATATATCCTAACATACTTTCATGGATCGCGCTATCTGCCCTCATATTAAAAGATATGGGTCCATTTGCGGAAATAAATGCTGGCGACCTACGGGTTGTTACAGACATTGGAGTTTACATGAGCGAAATATAGAGAAATTCCCTTGTGGTATCTGTGGAAAACCTACTATATCCATTACGGGGTATTGTCCAAAACATTCTGGTCGATTTCATTCATTGAATTATCGGATGAGACAAAAAGGGCTTATTACCCAAGATTCTGAGTAGGGTATGCACACAGTGCCATTTCTCCGGAATAAGCTCATGATTCGAAGAAGAGGTAAAACCTCGAATTTTTAATTCATCGCCTAAAGGTTTGCAAGGCAATAGATAAATTTTTAGTATATATCATTTATTTCGGAAGAAATGGAACTTCGTTCCTGGGCGACACAAAAATCCCTTCTGCAGAGTATAGTACGATTCGAAGTGTCGATTTTTTATGCCCTGGCATGAGCTCCGCTCTACAAGTATCATTTTTAAGCGTCACAAAAACCCCCTTTGTAAGATATATAATAGGCCATTATTAATAGATATATATATTAACAGATAACAAACATATCCTGACGCTGTATATCAGAACTGGGAGATGTTTCTATTTCATCGGGTGAGAGTTTACTATACCCATAACGCATATCCTCACCATTTTCATAGAATTGTCCTTCACCCGTTTGATATGGTGGCAACTCGGGTGTATATGCATAGGCATATATACTATCAAATGCTCCAACTAGATGATAATGGCTATTTTTTTTATTACTTGCTTTAAGTTTTATCCCATAAGTTGCAGAAAGTGCTGAATTTATTAGACCAAGTTTTGCCTTATCAGATTTTAAACCAGATTTTTTAGCACTACGAGATGCGTCTGTATTATCAAAAACTCGAGCCATTTTGGGCACTAAATGCTGGAGGTATTTTATCGATTCTGGCGAGTTTAAACATACTTTAACATCATCTACTTTGTAACTGTTTCTATCATCAATATCTTTAACAGGTGTACAAGTCTTTAGTAATTCCAGACAAATTCGATGCTTCTCAGCTTGGGTAACGGTTGTAAGTCTATCATTCCTATAATCTTCACGGATAATAGCCTCAACTGCTGTCTCATTGTCAGTACCCGCATCTCGTAGTTTCCGGAGATTTCTAAACCATTTCATTTCATCGTATTTACCATAATCTGCGATAAATTCCTCTGTTAAAGATTCAGATGGTAATCCGTAACATTCTGCTATATGGAACCGCTTTAAAGCTCGCATCTCTTCTAAAGTCTTTTTTGGTTTATTTTCTAGAACCTCGGCCGTTTCGTGATTAATAATATTAGCATTTGCAATTTCTCTTTCAACCTCCGCCTTACAAACTATAGAATGCACATCTACTTTATTTTTTAATGAAGTTAATTTTTCCTCTACATTTTTAGGTAATGGTACTGAGTCTAGTATATCGATCAGCATTCCTGCCTTTCGAAGGAAATCAACCATTCTCCATCCAAACAGACGGCGGGATCGGAATTTTTCCAACATGTAGGCAACCCATAATCGGACTGTTGGAACATCTTTATTTCGAATAATTGATTCTACATCCGGAAATATACCCCTATTCTGGAGTTCTTGGGGGAGACATTCGCGCTTAGCTTTTAATAACCAGTGGAGTAATCCTTGTTCTGTAATTGGGAGATTTGATGATCTTTGTTCGATGTGACATGTATATTCTTTAATACACCTCATACGAAATAGCATCTGATTCGTCCCAGCATTTGTTTTTATATTACTTTTGAAAAGACAAAATGCCTGCTCAAACTTCGGGTTAGTACATGAGACTCCTATTTTTAACGTACTGGTATATTCTACTATATCAACATCTTTCCATGCTTCTTCAACATCGCTAAAGTCCTGTGCTTTCTCAACGGGATCAGATTCACCATGATACTCCTTAATACGTAATTCTGGAAAATCATTTCTAATGGCGCTAACAATTCCTTTTAGATCGTATCTAAGATGGCGTATACTGTAACTGATGCACTCTTTCGCTCTTCAGGTTTCAATACAGACATTTTTCTTGCCCAATTCCAGAGTTCTGTCAATAATGTTTCTTTATTAGGAGCCAAATGAAACAATTTACCTTTTTGGGGCTGATAAGTATTATGGATAACTGAAAATTGCTTACCCTTTCGAAGTGATTTAATTCATTCTATATTAAGGTCAGTGAGGTCATTATCCATAACAATAATACGCCTCGCTTCGTGAATTAACTTACATAAATGCTCTCTTGATCGACCTGCTAAGCGAGTGTGGGCTTGACTATCCACAGATACTACCTCATCTAGCCATAAATCATATGGCATTGGAGGACACTTACATTTTTTCTCGCATTTGCAATTATTGGTAATGCGATGTAGACTTTCTATTTGGCATACTACTCTTTGATGATCCGGAAGATTTATGTCCTTAGTACAGTGGCGATCAAATGTTTTGCATCACTTGGATAAAAAAAAAGAAATTGAGACATTATTTGATCTAATAATAACAAACGAAAA